TGACAGAAAGGGTTGCAAGGCACATATTGTATTGTTGCCATCGAGGATAACAAGATGGATTTTATATCATATTGCTTGAGTTTATCCCTCTACATCATGTCATCTTGCTTAATGCGTTACTTTGTTCTTATGAACTTAATACTCTAGATGCAGGCAGGAGTCGGTCGATGTGTGGAGTAATAGTAGTAGATGCAGGTAGGAGTCGGTCTACTTGTTATGGACGTGATGCCTATATACATGATCATGCCTAGATAATCTCATAACTATGCGCTTTTCTATCAATTGCTCGACAGTAATTTGTTCACCCACCGTAATACTTATGCTATCTTGAGAGAAGCCTCTAGTGAAACCTATGGCCCCCGGGTCTATCTCTTATCATATTTGCTTTCAATCTACTTTTATTTGCATCTTTACTTTTTGCGTCTATATTATAAAAATACCAAAAATATATTTACCTTATCATACTATCTTTATTAGATCTCACTTTCGCAAGTGGCCGTGAAGGGATTGACAACCCCTTTATTGCGTTGGTTGCGAGTTCTCAGTTTGTTTGTGTAGGTGCGTGGGACTTTTGAGGAGCCTCCTACTGGATTGATACCTTGGTTCTCAAAACTGAGGGAAATACTTATGCTACACTTGCTGCATCACCCTCTCCTCTTCGAGGAAAACCAACGCAAGCTCAAGACGTAGCACTACAGAGGCTTGCGGCGGTGGAACTCCCGATCTATTTTCCTCCGATGTTTTTAGGGTAAATGGGAATATATAGGCGAAAGAAGTCGGTCGGGGGACCCTTGAGGGGCCTACGAGACAGGGGGCACGCCCAGGGGGGTGGGCGCGCCCCCCACCCTCGTGGCCACCTCGAAGCTTCCTTTACTTCAACTCCAAGTCTCCTGGATCATATCCGTTCCAAAAATCACGCTCCCGAAGGTTTCATTCCGTTTGATATTCCTTTTCTTCGAAATACTGAAATAGGCAAGAAAACAACAATATGGGATGGGCCTCCGGTTAGTAGGTTAGTCCCAAAAGTAATATAAAAGTGTATAATAAAGCCCATAAACATTCAAAACAGATAATAAAATAGCATGAATGCTTCATAAATTATAGATACGTTGGAGACGTATCAGTATACCTTGTGCAAGAGATTACAATGGGGGAGATCTGTTTGCTTCGGAGAGTCTAGTTCTACGGAAGTAATAATGGGCATGAGAGCCCCTTACGGTTTTACATGGAGGTATATCTAACCTGGTCCCAGTCATGCAGATTTGGGGTTCAAGATGGTATCTAGATATTTATCCAATCCTTCGGGCTCCTTCATATTGCCAGCTCTTTGGTGGGCCTTCCAAGCCCCCTGGCAGGCCTACTGCCAGCCTCCCCTTCGAACGACCACTCCCGATGTTTCACATCATCAACTACCGAGGTCGAGGAGGTGGACGCCCAAACAATGAAGATGAATGCTTTGAGGTCGTGCACCTACAAGACTGAAGAAGATCTTGCTTTGTGCGATGCTTGGATGAACATCTCTCTTGATGCCATAGTCGAACCTGATCAAATAAAGGAAACATTTTGGAAAAGCATTGAGGAGTACTATGTGAGCCATGCATGTGTCCATTACCTCCACCGGCACAACCAGTTCTCCCACTTACTGTTGGAGTGTCATCCAAGATCAATTCAACCGGTGGTCCGGTTGCATTGATCAAGTGAACCTAGCACCACCGAGTGGAGTGCCCATGAACGATTATGAGCCCATCATCTAAGATTTACAAGCAAAGGAACAATAGGGGTGGCAACAAGGGATTCAACTTACATCATTGTTACAAGGCTCTTGTGGGAAATGAGAAGTGGGAAAAAGGAACTATGAAACAACACTGATGAGGGCAAGAATTGGCATATCGCCAGTCAACCATGACTTGTTAGAGAAATCCTCTAGTCCTCAAATGCTCCGGATGGAGCAAATGCAAAGGAGAGAAAGATGGATGGAAGTGTTGGAGCATACAAAGAAGAGTTCGTTGGAATGGTGGAGATGAAGATGGCATTGGCGGCTAAACGGGAGGAAGGGAACATGACTCAGTTCTACGAGCTCAAGATGATGGAGGATAAGAGGTGGAAGGCAAAGGCGACGGCCAATGAAAGAAATGTGCAAGCAAAAGAAAGAAGGCTTGCAATTGCTGGAATTTTTGTCTATTTGGGCCTAGCCCAATAGCAGTTTCAGAAATTTCTAATAAATCCTAGAGGCCCACGCAGCCCATTCGTGCAAGGCAAGAGGTGGAACTAAAGTTTAGTCTCACATTGCTAGTTTAGAGGGAGTTGGACCTCTTTATAAGGGAGGCTCCTCCCCCACTTGTATGAGCATGAGAACAAGAGGGATATCCATGCGCGCTCCTCCTCCGCCGCCCGCCACGCCGCGCCGCGGGTTGCGGGAACGAGCCGATGTCTAAATTTTTGCGATGGTGGAGTTTGAATGCGAACGGTGCAGCCCTGCCCTCTCGCCTCCTTCTCTTGCGTCTATAAAAGGGAGGTCGCTCCTCTCAGAGAAACGCACCAGAACTTCTTCTTCCTCTCGCCACCGGTTCCTGAGCACCGCGCTGCTGCTACGATCTTCCCCATTCCGGCTTGCGGCGTGCACCGCAGGTCGGGACAGTAGGCCTCCGAAACCGCACTTTTTGAGTCATGTACGGGAGAAGGGTGATAAGGTTTTTGGGGAGCGCTCTGCGCGACTACTAACTTCTTCGTCACGGACGCCCCGGACTCCAACGACTACTTCCCCGATGTCGACAACCTCCTCGACGACATGGAGGACACCGACCCTAAGTCCAGTGCCTCTGCTCCTACTGCTGTCCCGTACGTGTTAGTATCTTTCCTGTTAGAAGTCCTGCAACAGTTCCTTCTTCTAGTGTTTGCCCTAGACGTGTTAGGCTCTACTTCAGATATGCATCTTGTTCTACTGTCTGCTCTAGAGATGATCGGTTCTAGCTCATATATGCAGATATTATTTACCTTCTCTTTGTCAAATCGCATGGCTTGTTTTATCACTGCTATACTAGTCATGCTTTATCTAGTATTTCTGTTAATAAAATCATTCGGTAAATTGCTCATATTTCCAACAGCAATTAAGGAGCAAAGACTTGCAATGAAGGCCGATGAGAAAATGAGCAAGAGGAAGGTTGAGGAGCACTGCCTTGAATTGGAGGTTGAGGAACAAGGGAACAAGAAGGCGACCCATGAGCGTGCTATCATGTTCATGGATCCCAAGCAAAATGCACGAGAGGGAGAGAAAATACTGGGAACTCACTCGTGGTGATATCTTGGCAAAGTCATTTGGTGGTGGCAGAGGTGGTGATGGTGGTGACATTATTGGTAGTGGTGGTGCCAATGGTGATGGTGCGAGTGCATGATTCATTTTCGGTTGATGATTGCTTTTCATCCATCATGTGCTATGTGATTATTTTTTGACTGAACTTGTTGCATTCGGTGTCTTTTGGCTCGTTTGGCTCAAATCTATATTTATATACTTTATACTTTTCTATATTAACATATTATATTATATTATACTTACTACATAGTGTACCAGGTTTGAAATTTTGAATCCTAAGCCTGAGAAGCAATTTGAGCCATTGATGAGGGTCAATCCTACGGTTCAGGTCGAAGGGGTTCGCGTCTATAGTACGAGTGTGTCATCTCACTTCATTCAGGAAAATTCCCGACCTTCCCGAGGCATTCCGTACATGCAAGTTCTTGCGTAGGGCAACATTGTCCGGCCACGGACGTGCGACGGCCGCTGCGCCATACCTTCCTTTCCTCCCCATCTATCTCTGTCTATTTTAGTAGTCGATTAGATTGGCAAATTAAGGGAGAGAGCGTGGTGATGTTGAGGACAAAGCTGATTAAGGGGAGCACCTCCACGGTCAAGTAGTTTTGAGACTGGGACCGCGATGATGTTAAGTCGCTTTGTGATTAGAGTGTAACATTAGCTTCAAATGTATTTTTTGGTGTGTATGTTTTCTCCTATGTAGTGTTTGCAAAAGAAAAAAAAAATCAATCTCCTATGAGTACAATTTTTTGTGGGTCACAATGATGCAAAGGCCGGGGTCCAACCTTTTTATATTTAAAATAACTATATAAGCGTTCTCTTCTAGGAACAAAGGTAGTTACACGCTTTCTTTACGCGTTGCTAAACAACGCGCATCAGAACCCATTGTAGATTGATTAATAAAATTACGATAACTATCACAGGAGCTTTACATACAAACAAAACAAGACATTTGATTCGTTAGACTTTTAAAGCGACCACTGTTGGGTTTTTCTCTTCAAAGCTTATGAATTGAACTTTGCACGCACTGTGCATGTACAAGCGTACTAGTATGTTTATGTTTTGGTTGTTTCTTAGATTGGATGAAGTATGATCATTTTGTCAAAATTTGTGTTAAAATGTGGTTGGAAGAAATAACAAAAGATTTTTTTAGGGGATTAAGTTTTAGGGGAAGGATGAGGCGCACAAAAGTTTAGTCTCTCAAATCTTAGGGGTTGAAGAATTGGGGAAAATTTAGGGGATTAAGGAAAAGGCAAGGGCGAGATGCTTTAAGAGAACCATCTACTTAGAAATGAAGGGATTAGTATTTCACCTCATCCGTTTTCTAACTTCTGCTTTCCATTGTTTTCTAGTATAAATCTTTTCATGCAGAAATGACCATTTTGCCCACCATCTCATGACCACACTAACCGGTTGTGCTTTCTTGGATTAACATTATAGGTAAGGCACACCCCAGCAGTAGGGATGTGTCAACAAGTGAAGAATGCCAATGATAAGTACATAGTAGGTGCTCATTTCCAGCAAGAATCCAATCCCAGCTTCCCAAAAATGCCGCTGACCCCCTAAACTAAACTAGTTTCTGACAATAGTGGGAGATGCAACAATGTGGTGCTGGAATCTGAAGCAGCATCAGGCTGACGCTGATTCACATCATGCCCTGATCCCACCGCCGTTCGTCTATGCGTTTCCAGAGTTACTGCTTCGGCGAGGCGGCAACGTCATCCACGGGGGCTTTGGAGCCTGTAGCCGGCTCTGCCGTCAGCATCAAATCCCCGTAACCGGAGCTATTGTTTAATTCCGTGGCCTGGCTGGTGCTATCGGTTCGAACTCCTGACGACAATTCGCTTGGGTCGCTTGAGAGCACTTTCAGGTCCCAACCGGAACTTTGTTGGCCTTGCTTCTCCCATGGCTGTTCAACAAGCAACAGAAATGTGAGCCAACCATAGTTCTGAAGCAAGTCAGAGGGCATCATGAAGACACTCTAAAAGTTATACTCATCATCAAATTGATTAGCCTATAATTTCAAGTGCAAACCTTGGGCTTGGGTGCCATACTGGGTTTCGAGATTGGCTGATCAGGGTTTGGTGGCTCATCATTAATATCCTATATCACAAAACAATAGGGTTACAGAGTCCTCTTGCTGAAGCAATAATACTAGGGAGACAAATAGAAATTTAGAATACCTGGATATCATCTGGCCGCTCTCCCCTCTGTATCATTTCCATGACCTGTCAAGTGTTAAGTCCAATATGACAGTTTAGAGACAACTTCCGGTTCATATTCAGACTGAACTAAGTTGCTCATATGCTAGCATGAGTTTGTAAGAAAAAAATTGACGCTCAAGATAGCGAACCTCCATATATGATTTTGGGTGCCGGGGCACCACAGGGGTTACAGTTTCAGGATCAGGACTTCCTACAAAATTAAAGTAGGAATGTCAGAAAAAAGAATGTTTTGAACTTTTGATGAAGCCATTTAGAGCAGTGCTGAACTGAAGATACAACTGAAAGGGGAAGTTGATATGGAACCCCCATTTACTTATACAGAAAAACAAACCGAAAAGCTATCAATAATCTTGACAGGATCCACGGTGACATCAAATTAGAACTAAACCCGGAGGCCTTAGAATCACTAGTAAACTGACTGTTCTCACATACCTTGAGATTCACACATATTTGAGTTTGTAGAGTTTGAAGGTGGGCTCTGCAAATTACAAAAGTGACGTTAATGAAAACAGCAAGTTGAGAATAACCAGGGACAAGTAGATGGTGAAAGAAAAAAAACTTACAAGTAAACGACGAAATGCTTCTTCAATTTCGTCCACGGTGAGCCCTTTATTTTCCAGGAAGGAACGCCTCTGGACATCGGAAGATGCCACGACTTTGGGGTGACTCAGAAAACTAATGGCACTCTGGACCAGTTCCTCCCTCACCGGTTCAGAGGTCACAACAGCCGCTTCTCCTTTCATCTCCTCCTGCTCTTTCGTGTCTTGCGAAGTAGTACTCCCATGAGCAGCAGCTTCTGAGCTACCTAAAGTGAGGGCAAACTTAGTTTCAATACTCAGCTTGATTTCTCCGCCGATCATGATGAAACACCGGCAGAGGCAAAAATGTATACGGTAATGTGGCAGCACACACAGTGTACGACGGTCACTCGGTATATTACGAGGGTATCTACGCACAAGAATGAATGCTAACCTAAGTTAGTCTGCGCGCCAGTTTGAACAGGGATGTCTGAACGAAATCATGAATTGTTCTGAACAATACTGAATAGTTCAAAACGATTAGACTAATCAGGTGGATGCATGGGCAACCAGACCAGCAGAAGCCGATAGCCAGAGCCATGGCGCCCCCTGCTCTGTCGCCACAGATCGATCGTACCAACCTAACACTACCATAGTAGCCCCGTCACTGGTCTGTCGCCGGCTCGCCGCAGCAACGAGAACTCGGAGGATCAATGGACGAATTAGTACTACCATGAGCAGCTTCTGAGCTGACCAAGCAGCCAGTGCGAATTCTAGCTGCGGCGGCATGCCAGCACTCAGCAGCAACCGGCGGCGGAA